GCTCTACTAAGAGCAGCTTCATATGCTCAATATATGCATCATGCATCTTTACTCCTTCCTTGATCTTTGAACTCCCATTGTTAATTTTTAGTACAAGTAAATTGGGAAACCTCGTTATAAATGTATCTTGGATCAAGAGACATGAAAGCCATAATCTTTGCTAAATTTTATTGATACTAAGATGTAAACTGATAAGAGGAATCCAACATCAGAATTTCTGGTTCTTATGGTAGTAAAGCTAAGACAATCTTGCTCATTATCAAAAATAAAAAAATAAAAAATAAAAAGCTAAGACAGTCATAATTGCCTGTGGTCATTATAATCAGTTGATGGAGACAGAATAAAAGGACATGGGTTAGTTTAATTTTTTTCTTAGGAAATATGACCTGCACGAGTTGATCATTGTTTAATAGCAAACCTTCTATTCACTTAGTGTATGAATCTTCTTTCTGTACAGGCCAGGAAGTTTACCTACTGCATGTGCTGTGGAAAATATCAGAACTGTCAACAGCGATGAGCCAGGTAAACTCTAAAATCTAATGCAAGATTAAACAGTATACAAGCTTTTAGCAAAATCTCGTTTGTATGTTGAGAAAATCATGGAGTAGACAATTGGTTACTTGAAACTTAAGAAAGATTAAGGTACAATGATTTAGATTGCATCATCACACCCCTTGTTGTGTACTGGTTGCCAGCAAATCGATTTATCTTTGACCTTTTTATCTTTTCCTAATCCTCCCATTTGCTTTTAAGTTTTTATTTCATAAAGAAATGATCATGGTGAAGAAAAGAGCAAGTCCTTCCAAATCATCTGCTATTAATACTCTTTGGGTATATTCTTATGGGCACTTAAGTACAAGAACTGCTGAACTGGAATTAATCTATGCTGAGTAAAATAGACCTCTTATCCCTATTATGGTTAACTTTCCAATATAGAATTATTTGTTCTGTTCTTATATTCTGTTATTCTTACCTTTAAACTCACTGCATGACATGTGGGAAGTCCTTGTTTAAGTGCTTCTAGTCCAATTGGTTTGCTCTTAATTTAGTGAAGTTTCTGATCTTGTGATGCAGATCAAATGAAAGCCTCAATCTCCAAAGATGATCCTGAGATGCTTAGACCTCTTATTGTAAGTTTCGGTAATTGCATGTATATTTCTTTTTGAATCATTTAATTTACGCTTCAGAGCTGTGATGGCTGTATATTTTGTTTCATCCCTCACACAGTCAGACAGTGAAAAAGGCCAAGTGCAGGTGCATATTCTATATTTTAGCAGCCTAGTTTACCGTTTGAGTCTCAATTTTCTCTTAGTTTCCTTATTATATTTCTCTCTTACTGTGTTAATAAACAGATAAAGCAATACAGTAGTTCTACTTCAATGAGTTTGCTACAGAATGCTTTCTGGACCGTCTGTGTACTGCTCGGATCAGCCATACTTATATTTATCCTGATTCTCATCTGTGCAGTCATATATCCTAGGTACTAAGCCAAATGCTTAGATTTTAAGATGATTTTTCATAACTTCAAAGCAGCCTGTTTGTTTTCTTATAGGATAAGAGGTAAAAATGTGCAAACAATCTCTCATCTTCATCTTTATTTAGCCTTCAGCATTTCATCACATAGACGCCTTTTCTGTAGCATCAAATCTTTACTTAGCCTTCTGCATTTCATGACATAGATGCCTTTTTTTGGAGCATAAAATTACATAGTTTGACAAAAATTTTCTTCATAAGATAAGTCAATCTTATGTTGCCTACTGAAAGTCCAAAGCCTCCTTAGAGCACATTTTGCATAACATTATAGGAAACAGAGAAAAACCAACCATGCCTGAAGTCATTTTTGTGAAGAATGAACTTATTATAATTATGGTTTTAAAACCTCTTTAGATTTTCAAGAAATCAATGGTAAATCAAAATCTTAAAATTGGGAAGGGAAAACAGGATATTCAGTCCCTCTCATGTGATTTGATTATTACTAAAATTTTCAATTTTGGGTAAACCTCTGATCAGTTGCTCCATTGTTACTTTATCAAGACCAGAAAGTTAAAATTCAAAAATTGGGAAGAAGAAACAGGATATTTAGTGACTTTATGTATGAGGTTTTATTATTACTAAAAAAAATTTCAGTTTTTAGTGATGTTTTGATCATTTTCTTCTTAGTTACTTGATCAATTGATTCATACAATTAATATATTGTCATGACCCTAGAAAGGTTGGAATATAAATAGATAAAAGTGGTTACAAAGTCTTGTTTTTGGGTCAATCATTCTGGAATTAACAAAACCTGGGTTTTTATCACTTCAAACCCAAAAAAATCATTTCCATTCTCATTGCAACAAGAAGATATGGACCAAAAGAGTATAAATGGTAACTTCACAGGTCAATGTCTATCAAGAATCAGTGGTCAAGATGAACATATGGATATACTGATATAGCTGCTAGAAGATGGAAGGGAGGACGTGTTAGGGGTTGAAGAGTACACTTGTCTTGGAATTGTTTGAAAAGGGGATCTGCCAAAAGAAGGATGAAAAGACATGTTACCAAATAAAACTAGTTTTTTAGCATCTTAAGGCTGCCAAAGGGGGGAATTGTCCAGATACAGTAATCTATAATTCACCATTGTCCAAGCAAAGCAACTGTTCCTCTCTCTCTCTCTCTCTGTGTGTAAACTTTTCCTTCTATATTCTTCCTTTCTGTCACCTAACATGAAGCACTCCCTTCTTTCCAAATGGGGTGGTTGCAGTCCCTCTTCTCTCCATTGAAGAAGCTGTGGTCTCGCTTGCATTCAGATAGGGAAAAGGGTATTTACATTGTGATCACATTTAGAGCATGAATGTTGCTTTGCATTTTTTGTTTTCTTTATTCATTTGTCTACCATCTGTTGTAGCAAAACATATTACATATGATACCTTATTCATTGGAAAGGAAATGAATTGCGCATCATTTTCATAGATCATCTTCAATTTTTCATCTACTGAAAACTTGAACTTGTAATGTTGATTTCAGGTAGAGGGATATATATCTTATACGAGGATGTCAAGTCATGTCCATGCGAAGATGTCCAAGTCCTCTGGTCAATACTGGTGGAGTCTCATCCATCCGTTGCTACATCAGACCATTGAAGCATATGGACTTCAAAAACCATTTAAGATTTGTAGCCGAAAATTAATGTTCTATTATGTATATAAACCATAGCCCTTCTTTCTCTCTTTAGCACTCGTTTAGAACAAAAGATAGCAAAATGATTAGCTGAATCTTCTCTGTTAAGATGGCTTTTGTTTGGCCATAACATGAAGGAAGGTTGTGTTGTTATTTATTTCCAAAAGCTTAAATGCCTTACTGCTTGAGCTTTGATAGGACACAACCTACATTAATTTCTTTTCTGCCAAACAAATGCAGGCTATATTAATGCAAAATGAGCAAAATGCCACCCCTACAGTTTTCTGAATGCAACTGAATATCAACCACCTAAATTGTCTGCTCAATTTTTCCAAATGTAGTAACACCTTGGCAACTTCTTTTATTGATTACCCCATAATTCCCAATTCAACAAACATTTTAAACTTACCTAATCTATTGCAATAAGAACATGAAATAAAATCTCAATTAATCGTGCAAGCAAATGATGAAAAGATAATAAGAACAGAAGCAGGAAATTTACATGGTTCAGTCAGTGTGACAAAACATCCCCGAGAAGGGCCGGGTCAAGTAAACACGAAATTTACCTACTTATAAAGAGGTTTTATGTCTAGCTAGCCTAGCTATAATAGAAACTTTCAATTGCATTCCTAATTCTGGCAATGCTTTCAGTAAACACTTGAATGACATACATATATATACTTCCCAAATTCAGGTTCTACAAATTAATGTCTTCTCAACTGAACTTTCAATTACATTCTAAGTTCAGCTCTCCACCACCAACACCTGCTTTAGATACATTGATCAATAAGTTCAGAGTAGCTCAATGACATGAAGTAATCTTCATCATTAAAAGCTTGATCATCCACCAGGTTGAGGTTTTCCCAGAAGTTTTCTTCAACCAGACCCTGCTTATCATCCACCAAGTTGAGGTTTTCCCAGAAGTTTTCTTCAACCAGACCCTGCTTATCATCCACCAAGTTGAGGTTTTCCCAGAAGTTTTCTTCAACCAGACCCTGATGATCTCCTCCTTCTGACACCTCTAAAGGTTGTTCCACTTGATCTACCAGACTCTCCACCGCCAAACCCTCTTCCTCTTGCTCTGATTGCTCTAACATCCTTTCTAGTTCGTCAACATAGAGTTCAGTATCATCTGCACCCTCTCCCCCAACAAACGAACCCTCCATATCCCCCAAACCCCCTGTTTCTAATTGCACCAGAGTTGTTGGTTCTCGAACCAATTCGACAGTCCTCTGTCTCTTTAACGGCGGTAGCGAATCAGGACCTTCGCTCGCCACTATGGATTGCGGCGCCTGAGGCAGAGAATCAGGTACAGTCGATGTCGAAGTAGAAGCCATGAATAATGACCCTTCACCGGTATAAACCTCCATACCCTCCAAACCCCATGTTTCTTGCACCAGATTTGTTGGTTCTTGAACCAATCCAACAGTCCTCTGTCTCTTTAACGGCGGCAGCGAATCAGGACCTCCACTTACCACGATGGATTCCGGCGTCTGAGGCAGAGCATCACGGACAGTCGATGTCAAAGTAGAAGCCATGAATAATGACCCTTTTCCGGTATACTTTACCCGACACAGAATCCAGTACTCCTGAACATTCTTTTCATTGTCAATCATGTACTCATGCATTATCCAATCGCCCTTCCCTCTGTTCTTGAAGATCAAAGTCAGAGACGTTACATAACCGATCGTAGCACCGGTTCCCTCGCCTAGAATCGGCGTTGCTTTCTGGTTGGGTTTCCATGTCGCACCTTCAACATCTCCTCCAAGATCCAGGGTGCGTTTTGCCCTCTTTCCCGTGCCCATTCTTTTAACGAAATAAAACCGCTCATTGCCAAGAAAAAATCGGTTCTTGGCCTGGTCCCAAGGCAGACACCACGGTGCTTGCTTGTATACGTCCATCACAACAATCGACGGATGACAGTAATCTGGGTTGGAGATCTTGTTGCGGAGATGGTAGATGAGCTCTGCATCCGTTGGGACGAATCGGACCCCAATTCCGAACATAGTGGAAGAAAGAATCATGAGGGTATTACCAATTCACAGAGAGAATGAATCGATCGAGAAAAACCCAAAAAATAACAACGATGGAAGAGCGAATAACGAAGAAACCATGGAAGACGGCGGAATTGATTTCAGTAGAGTCAGTAGCGAGGGAGTGGGCATGTAGTAGTATTTATAGAGAATGGAAGAAGAAGGTCGGCGGTTGAATTCAGCGCGTGACCAGCTAGCAAGGAAAAGATTCAACGGCTAGTTTTATTATTATTATTTTATTTAGATTGTAAAATAAG